CGTCAGGTGCCGCGGCGGGCGCAGAATCTGCGACCGACGGCGACTCCGCGGCGCGGGCGGGGGTCGCCATTTTCCCGGAAGAGCGAGCTTCTTCGAATCGAATCGAGCTTTATTGAAACGCCGGAAACAAACACCCAGGGCACAGGGGTGGCCCACGGGCCTGCGGAGGGGCGGAAATGACGTACAACGCGTGCGCCCGGGTTTGGCCGCCTTTCTCTGTTCGTGAGTTTATTCCGGAAACAAGCGGTAGACAAAGTGAAGGGGACTTGTTCCCTACCGCTAGGAGGTTTGCGGAGTGGAGAAGGAGACGTGAAACATATAAAACCGTGTAATATGATGGTTGGAGCGGACACCGCATAAGTGTTTGGGAAGGGAGTGCAAGCTCCAGGGAGCCAGCGGTGGGCGGGGCGGCGCGAGTGTTTGGAAGAGGCCCGGTGCTGCTCAGCGACATCCGGAGCGTTCTTGGGGACTGTAAGCGCTTCTGAACGGTGTCCGTAGCGTTTTGAAGCAGTACATTCGGTGTCTCTGGCTTCCTTCTGCCTCTTAGTTTCTGTGAAGCACCCAAATAATTGTTAACAGTTCAAAACCTCTCGCCTATTTCTAGAGGCCCACAGGAGAGATGGTAGGGGCTAGAAGCTACTGTGCAAGTGGTTGAGAACTTGTTTCATAAGTCCCTGTTTTTCATTTAAAAATAATTGATGGCAGATTGCAGACCCTAATACCTAGCTATTTTTCCACCATAGCAATTTTAGAAGCTCCGTCTTTACTTTAGACCTATTTTCAAACGTATGCAATCGTTAAAAAGATTTACTCTGGCTAAGAAGACAGTAAGTTTCTTTTTATAGTTCATCCAAGAAAGCTGCATCCCAAAGGAAAGAACAGGAGGCATACCGAGTCACATATCTGGGAGAGTCCCAGCAAATATCACCCTATATCCTATACCCTACCCCAAGTCCTTTGACATAGCAAATTGAAGCTTTTTTCTGTTCTCTGTAGATGTTATATAAACACAGGCAACTCCCTCTCCACAACACATACAATCTGAAGCCACTCTAGGGAACCAAATTACAGCCGTTTTTCTCATACCCATACTTTCAAGGACTCCAATAATCTAACTCTTCAGAAATTGGCCACTTTTTGTTTTCTTCTGTTGGCTTTCTCCCCTTACCGATGATAAATCTTGGTTCATCTCACCTCCGTGGTTTCCGAGATTGTTCAGAACCTAATTCCTCTTTGGAGCGCAGATGTGGTGCTTAGAGTTGGATCCTCACTCATGTTTATGATATTTCTCTAAGTGTGTTAAATATGATTTTTTGTCAAAAAAATTATGAAGTCTCTGTCAGAAGACTGTTTCTATCTTTCCTAACAATAGCAGGTACTAATTGAACCTCTCATAATTTTTGTGTTTACACTTCACCCATTTTTTTTCTTTAAAATGTTTCTTACAAATCTTAAGCTTTTATATAAATATTAACCATAAGTACTGTGAAGATATTTTTAGGGATATGAAATTGAATCTTATACTATGTGGTTTAGGGCTTCAAAATGTCAGTACAAATCTGAGTCCCTACCAATATCCATGCACAAACTATGTGATCCTCCGGTCAGTAACCAAGAGATGACAGATGAAAATTCACCCTCCAAAAAAAGCAGACTGTGCACCTCAAAGTGAAGATCAACACAGTATTCTTTTGTAATGCAGTAAGCAAATCAAAGTATCTGTAACACAGATTTTTCACAGCAGTGTCCATGGGAAAAGCTATAAAATTAAAACATTTAGCAGTGGAGAAATAGCAAAACAAGAAACAATGAATATCTCACAGATTTTACTTGTTTACTGCTGAACCGGGCAAACACTTGAGAAGAAATAGAGCCCAGAAACCACAGGGAGTTGATCTCTGTTGAAGAATTCCAGTTGCATATCAAAGTCTATTTGTTATAAAAATGAATTTGGTCAAGTATTTTGGAATTTTATTTGTATTCTCCAGGGTTCATTTTTAAAAATCAAAACACTTTTCTAATTGTACTTGGATTAATCTCCTGTATATTGCCTTCAGAGTAAATTAATGAACTTGACTGTGTTATAAAGGAAGAAAAATTCTAAAAATGAAAGGAAAGGAAAATTTCATCAGTCACATGAAACTAACAGTTTGACTTGTAACCACCCAATTACCACCAAGCTGTGCAAGAACATTGAATATGACTAGAGACAACCTGGGAATGATTTCCATTTATCTTTGTAGAGTTTAAGCTAACAGTTGATCATTCTGAAATTAGTAAACATTCATCTTTCGAATTTCCAGGATGCTCACCTATTTTCTTACATTGTTATCAGTACTGGACATGAATGGTGCAAAACTGGCCATGATATACCTGGAGGCAGCCAAAGTGACAGGGATTCTGTCTGGTATGGTTGATAACGGCTTGACTTATGTTCCATAAGGGTTCACATGTTGGAAGTCTGGTCATTGGTGGTGTGGTGAGAGGTAGTGTGGAACCTTTAAGAATTGGAACTTGAGTAGAAAGATCACTGGGTGCACTGCCCTCAGAAGGAATTGATGTAGTTCTCTGAGAGATTATTACAAAAGAGCAAACCTAAGCCTTAAATCTCTGGTGGAGCCATACCCTTGAGCCTCCAGAACTGAACTAAGTACATAAACCTCTACACGTTACCCAGCCACAAGCATTTTGTTGTAATAACAAAGACTAATATACCACCCTGTATGTTCTTACTACATGAACTTAACACTCCTTTTATCAAGAAATATGGTTAGCTGGGCATGGTAGTACACACCTCTAATCCTAGCACTCTGGGAGGCTGAGACAAGATCACAGCATGATCAAGCCCAACGTGAGGAAATTGGAAAAATTCTGTCCAAAATAGGGGTCATGAATGCAGCTCA